TTGCGAGGTGCTTGACATTTTGCTAGCGCCCAGCGCTATGCAACACAATTGCCTAACGCCTCGGCCGCAAATGCCGCAAGTGCCGCAAGAGCCGAATCTACAGCGAGGCTCCATTGTCTGCGGCGACTTCAGCCTACAAAGCCTACAAACTTACTGCGCCTGACAAGCAAATTAAGCGCACAAAAGCAGAAAATAAAGCAACTCAAGTTGCGAACGTGTGTGTGTCCGTGTGTGTGTGTGGCTAAAAGAAGCTGCAAAGCAAATCGTAAAAATAGTCGTAGTTTCCTTGTTGCAGTTGCAACTGTAGAGGATGTGTGTGTTGGTTAAAGTGCAGCAGTTAAGCACTTTTGTCTCAATGAGTGTCAACAAGCGCCCCCGAGAATCTGGCGGCACACCCCACACTCACACTCACACACACACGAACACACGCAAACAAGTCAAGTGTGACAGCTTGTGTGGAAAATAGAGAAAAATAATCGCCCTATTAATGAGCCTTAGGCCAAGTGCAACAAGCTGACAGACAACATGACCTGACCCAACATAACCCAGCTCCAGATACTATGCCCGCTTCGGCTATTTAGCTCATGTTCGTGTGCAATCACCCGAGGCGTCTTCTGTGTGTGTGTGTGTGTGTGTGAGTGGCTGAGTGTGTGGAGGGAAGAGCGCTGGTTTGTTGCCACTACTAGATTTACCCTGATAGAGGGTAGTACAATTATGTTATTGAAAGTGTAACGCATAGAAGCAGACAGTCTGACCCCTTGGAGTATGCATATTAGACTGAACTGGCATGCGTGCGTTTCTCTATGGATCGGACCACTATATCATATATCGGTCGAAGATGCTACAAAAAACTTATTGTTTATCAAGCTGTCTTGAACAAACTTTTCTCCTCTTTCTCTTTTCTCTTTATATCATATGTCTCTTAAGGGAAACATTGTTCTGAATTAAAACTGAATTATAACTTCTAAGTCGTTTGTCTAAAAGTGTATTTCAACTTCGGCCTGTTTATCTTTCTTATTTTCACTGCAAACTTGTGCGCTGTACGCCAAGACATGCACATTGGTTTTTCTTTTTAATTATGGGTGATCTGCTTGTTTAAAGCTTAAATTGCTGCAAACTTGATGCTGTTTTTTATTTTTTTTTAATTTGAAATCATGCTGAATTTGCATTTACATATATATTCGCTAGTTGAACCTAATTGGATTTCATATTTGGCCCCATTCCATTGAAGATTGTATTGCGAGGCACAAAAGTTGCCATGCAAACGGAGCAACAACAAAAATGCGCAATAGAAAAAAAAGAATATGCCAAATAGGCACTCGTCATTATGCTCGGCACAGACAGAGCAAGAGCAAGGGAAGCCACGTGAGTAAATATACATAATACAAGGATAACAACAAAAACAACAACAAGAACAACAAAAAACTTACTTCAAATGAACATTTCGCTGATGTCCGCGTCAACGGTGCGTATACATTTCAAGTTTCGCATTTCAACAGACCTGCTGAATGGGGCGCAGGTCGCAACAACTTTAATTGGTGGGACATGAAAGAGAAAATCTCTTTCTGTTGACGGCTCCACTCCAAGCGGAAAGCTGCTTTAAGCGAGCGTCAGAGGTCAAAGGTTTTGGGGTTTTTGGCAGTGAGCTTTGTTTCTTTGGCAGTTGGTTTATTTATTATTCGGTTGCACTAATGGCAAACGGAGCAATTGCGCTTGCCACATGCCGCATTCCACGACTTTACAGTTTCCCTCAATTTGTGTTAATATAATTTAAAAATTTCTGTGCTCATTTTTTCAGCTGCTGCTTTTAGTGTACATTGGAGAGTCGTAAAAGTTGGATGCTCTGCTTTGGCTGGCACTCTTAATTTTTATTTGCCATTTCGAGGGTTGCACACTGACCCTGCCACACACACACACACACCCACAAACACACATAGACACAGCCTGGACAGGGCTTTGCGGAGTTTGAAGCGTGTTCTTTTTCTTTCGTTTTTGAAGTTCACATAAAATTGAAAAGTAGCGAAAGTTTTGAGGGTTAGTTGTTCCACGTCGAAGAACGGGGCCACTTGCGGTTTCTTTTTAAGAATATTTCTGCCAGAACATTTTGAAGAGTGTGCACGTTAAATGTGTATGTTCAAAAAGGAAAAACCATAACAACAACTTTCCTTATGTACGCACAACATTTTTTCTTTAAGCCTAGTTGCTGCTGCAAACTTTGTGCCTGGTAATTATGCGCCGCCGCATGCACAAAAGTTTCCATCTTCTTTGGGGTGCAAGGAACCATGCAAATTATGATGATGACGACGACGATGCCGATGATGATGACGATGATGATGATGATGATGCTGCTGATGTCGGAGGGTGCGACTTTCACGTCTATGCCGGCTGACTGTAACTTTGATCAGCGACTCGCCATTTCCGTTCTGTCATTCTATTTCTTCAATTTTTCAAGAAAATTCTCTACATATTGAACATAATACCTTTCTAGAGATTTGTGTCTGTATGTGTCTCTCTCTCTCTCGCTGTGTGTGTGTGTTACACAATTTCTTGAGTTAATTAAAAAGTTTGCGTTTCTTTGATTTCTGCTCGTATTCGGTACAAAGTTAATTTCCCAATTAAAGTCGGTTAATTGCAGTGCGCTAGGCAACCAGATAAAGCTATGCAGATATGCCAACATGCATTTGAAATGTGTGTGTTGGTGTGCTGCCATTGCTTATGCAACGTTGCAGTGCCTACGCACAGGCGCAGCAGCAACAATTAAAAATAATGGAAAAACATTGCGGCACCAGCCCCAACAACAACAACACACAAAACAACACAGCCAACAACCAACTGGCAACATTACAAGCAAACGCTGGCATTATGTAAAGCAATTAAAATGTAACAGCAGCAGCAGCAGCAAAAAAAGCTCATGGTATAACTTGAGCTGCACACACACACACACAGCTACACACACGCACACACACACAACAAACAAACCGCTGACTTTTAATGGCATGCAAAATGTGTGCCAACCCGCAAGAGTCAGCTGAGAGCAGGACAGATGCAAGGACAGAGCGAGCGAGCGTGAGGGCGAGTCTCACATTAAGCGATGCCCGCCGCTAGAAGTATGCTAGAGAAAGGGCAGCTGCTTGCGGCATGTTGCTGCAACTTGAAGCTAACCCATGATTAAATAAATTGTTGAAAAATGTTCAACAAGCCAGCACACGGCCATTGCCGCTGCCTTCTGCTGCCCTGCTGCAACGTTCGTTCCGCTGACCTGGTAAAAATCTATAAAATGCTGCACGGCTGTAGAATGGCGCCTGCTGTTAGGCAACATATTGCAGTCAAGGCCTCGCTGCGTGCATTTTTTAAATGCTCGCCGCTTCCTTTTCGTGTTGTTGCTCGTTGTTGCCGCAGCGCGGCATGTGGCACAAACGGAAGCTGCTGTTTGGCTCACATAAATAATAACAATAGTGGGACGTTAGGCATGGCAAATGCAGAATGTGGGCGTGCTTGCAGCTGATGTGTGTGCGTGTGTGTTTGTTTGTGTGTGTGGGCGTGGCTAGGCAGCAACACGTGTAACAATCTTGTTACTGCAACCCTCGTGCCCTTCCACAATCTAATGCTGCTCCGCTCCTTGTTGTCCTTTATTGAAACTATTTACGCTGTGTTTACAACTCTGTGTGTGTGTGCGTGTGCGCCTCTATCTATTGTGTTAGGTACACACACACACACATGTAGCTGTGCACCTTTCTGTGTTTGTGTACCTAGGTGTTTTTCATCTTGTTTAAAAATTGCCAACTATTCGGGTTGCCAGCCAGTTCGGTTGCTTACTTTAGCTTATTGGCTTGCAGGCTTTAAAATGAAAGTGAGCAGACCAACAAATCAGGCAAAGTTTGTTTGCTCTCGTTGTAGTTAATTAAATGTAAAAATATTTACTTTCAGTTTGTAATAATAATAAATGAAAGTTTGGCAGGCACTTTAATCAGCAAGTAAACAGTTTAAAATAAACTTCTGTAAATTATCCCAAGTTGAGGTTTTCAACATTGTACTCAATAAATATAGGAATAATATAAATAAAAATTTTTCTCAAAGCTCTTAGTTGTATAGCTCAATCAGCTTTTCGATTCACCCATTTGTAGCCGTTTTCAATATTAATAATGGAATCAAATTTCATCTCCGAATGTTTACTTAAAAAAATATTTTTCTTAGATAATTATATGGTTGGTCAAATGATGATGGTTGAAAAAAACGTGCACGCAGATGTTATTTTTTGCAAAATTCTAACTGCTTTAAAAATCCGACATCATCTGCATGCTTGGTTATCTGAGTGTCGGACTAGCAAACAAAAGATCGCCAGTTCAAGTCCAACAATTTTGAAATAATATTTTCGTTAGTTATAATTGTGATTATTAACAACGAGAAAAGCCTCAACAAATGAAGAAAATAACAATGAATAGGAGTTAATAATTTGTTTGGGTTTTTTCTTTGTATACATTAAGTAAAGAATTGGAAAATTCATTAATGTCAACGTGAATACACCAACTCTATGGCAATAAGTAGCATATCGTTCCCAAATATTTGCTCAGAAATTTTTGGACGGAATTTGTGATCTAGGTTCATGTAGACAGACTTGTGCTAGGTCTTGACTCTTTCAGTGTTGAAGCTTTATAAACTTTATTGAGAGAAAAATACTCTACTCTGCTTAACTAAAGCATGCGTAGAGGTTTGTCTGAAAGTCATTTGAGCTATTAGCTTTTGTTTAGTATTTAATAAACAGTGCTTTAATTTAATAATAATCGTACCTAATGCTCAGAGAACTGCAGCTGATTCCATTTGTTTATGTTGTGAAGCCATTTTTCTCGATAAAAAGCTAAACTTGTTTGGCGATCGGATTATTTGCGCTCAGCGCACAACGCCCGAGAGCGCAATGAGAACGGCGCACAGAGCTTTTAAATAAAGCTTTCGTGTGCTAGAGCGAACACACAAAAGCTCTTTTGCCTCAGTAGCCAGTCGGCAGTTTGGGCTGAATGACGGAAGCGGGTTAATCGCATTTTTGCGGCGGGTTCTTTGTAAAAGTTGGATGTTAGGCAGAAAATTAAGTGCTAAACGTTTTTCGATAACATAATCTGTAGCAAGATAATACGGAAGAACCTTTGGAAGTTCCGAAATACGAAGACCAATAAACAAATGCTCTTTACTCTTTGTAAGCAGCCAAACAAATAGCAGCAGACGGGCAAAGTTCAGAGCGCCATATGGGAACTTTGTCACTGAGCGACGTGAGTAAGCACAATTGAAAGCTTTGGCCAGCTCGCAGAGCAACTGGCACTGCTTATACACTGCTCAACATGAAATTATTTTCACTTTTTGATTTGGCAGTACGAGGATGTGCGCATCTGGGCACCCTGGGGTCACATTGCGGGTCGCTGGTACGGCAACCGATCGGAACGCCCCATTCTGGCCATTCACGGCTGGCTGGACAATCTGGGCACCTTTGATACACTAATACCCTTGCTGCCCGACTACCTGGGCGTGCTCTGCATTGATCTACCCGGACATGGTTGCTCCACACGGCTGCCAGCGGGCATGCACTACAGCACAGCAGAGTTCATGCTTATCATCGCACGGGTCATGAAGGAATACAAGTGGCCAAAGGTCTCGTTGATGGGCCACTCGCTCGGCGGTGTCTTGAGCTACATTTACACTGCACTCGCACCACACACCGTCGATCTAGTCATCTCATTGGACATTCTTTTACCCCCCTTGGAGTCACCTGAGGGTTTAGAGCTTTTAGCTTACTCTTTGGATAAGCACCTGGTGGAGGATGAGCGTGCTGAAGAGGCTTTTATGCGTGAGCCGCCTTCGTACACGCTAGCCCAACTGCGCAGTGTTCTGAGCAAGGGGAGCAACAACTCAGTGCCGCCAGAATTTGCCCAGTATTTGCTGCACCGAAGCGTCACAAAGTCGCAGCTGTATCCGGAGAAGTTCTACTTTTCAAGGGATGGCCGCACCAAGTACTACAATGTATTGCCGGTCAACTCCGCTCTCGCCGCTGAAATGGCGCGACGCATCAAGAATAAGCCCTATCTCATCATAAAAGGATCCAAGTCCCACTTCATTAACGCCAAATCGAACGAGGCTATCAACATTTTGAGAAAGCAAAATCCCCACTTTGAGTACTACGAACTACCTGGCACTCATCATGTGCATCTAATCAGCCCCGAACTATGTGCCCAGTACATAGTTCCCTTCCTGAGACATCATCGCCCGCCCACAGTGTCCAGCTGGTCGTTAGCTGGGGAGGAGCAGAAGCTTAGCACACGGGAGCATCGCAAGGCACAGGAGAACTTCTTTGCGAGGAATCTAAAGCGTCTCAGTAAGCTTTAAAAGCGTAAGGGTGAATAGTATCGTAAATCTATTTGTTAAAAATAGTTGACCCGGTTGACTGAACCTTTCTTTTGGGTCGAAAGTGGGCACTAAAAAAAGGTGCTAATAATTCGAACCGGAAAGGAAACGGTTGGCCAAACTTTGTATAAAAAACTTGAGAAACATAGCCATATAACTGAGCTGTGCAAACGTGACAACAGGAGCCTGCGAAGTTTGGGGCGTCGAACTAATAATCGAGAGGTCGCTGGTTTAAAATTCTAATTCTCAACTATTGTATTTGTTTATTTAATTTGTTATTATTATCACAAAGCAAATGATAATAAAAATAAAATAAAATTAAAAAACAACAAAGATATGCAAAACAACAATAATAAACAATATGTTTCGTTTTTGTTTATTTTGTCTACTATGAGACTGTCCCAATTCAGTGCGTTTATCTAGCGTAGTTTTTATAAATTAAAAAAGATTATTTGTCTTGTGTACAATTGATGCGAATATATAGATGCGTGGTAGCAATTTTAGCGGCTTTGTTTCGGCTTGAAGTTGGGCCGGGCCAGTTCTTCCTGTACAATTTATGAGATTGTGTGTTCTAAATGACTTCATCATTAACACAACTCATTCTTTTCAGGAAATCTACACTCCTGGTATAAAGAGTATCCGTTCGGCATTTAAATAAAATTTAAACTAATTTGTAACACGCTAAATAAAAAATTTAATGAACGAATTTTATACGACTTTGGGAAGTCTATCCCTAAGATCGATATGAAGAAAAGGAAAGTATAAACCCTTTTCAATTATCATCGGCTTCGATAAGGCAAAATAGTGAGCCGGGAAATTTCAGAAAAATACAAATAAAAAGAGCTGTAAACTGTTAAAAGATGAGTGAATCGGGCATTGTTATAGGAACTGCCTATCTAAAGTATAACATCTCATCATGTCGTATGGCTTTTAAATTTCATAAACTTACGCAAACCTTGCATTGAGGTATCATAATTCATTTCATCTGGACGCTTACCTGTAAAAATGGAAATAATTAGTTGTAGCTTTCAGTTGAAAATTAAGTCAGTATATTTAAGAGACTTAATTTTAATACTAAAACATAGCGCTTTTTAATATCTCATATTTACATTTTTTATTCCTTTAATTTCATTATTCAATATGTGTTTTTGGCTGAAGCTTTTGCAATAATTTAATTTGCTGCTTTTTGTGGCTAACCACATTGAATTTTTTTTTGTCGCAGCGCTTGCTGTTGCGACTGTATTCTTTTTATTTTGTATTTTATTTAATTTATTTTGTCTTTATATTACATATTATGTACATTTATTTTGCAACCACTTTGGGGGTTTGTTGCCGTTTTGTCCGTGTCACTCGCAGCAATTACCGCCTCAGATTTACTTTTACAATTTCACAAATTATTATGCTACACTTTTTGCGGCGAGAATTTATTTAGTGTGATATATTTTTGCCATAAATATGGAAATAGTTGAAATGAATGCTGCCATACTAGAAACCAGATTGAAGCGTATTTAAATTGTTCAACTTTCGCCGCTGCAACAATGCAACCCGATTCTTTGTCGCTGAGCAGCAACAAGAGGAGAGGCGTCAATACAATAATAGTTGAAAAATTAATTTAAATGTCTCGCTAATGAATGTTTACAGCGCTCATAATTTGTATGCATATGAAAAATAGATAGGCCCGCTCTGTGGTCCATTGTCATGCTAATCATGGAAAATGAAAATGGAAATCAAAAATCTTGCATAAGTGACAAAAAATTAGCCGCAGTAACCCGATATCGAACCCGAACCTGTACCCGAATCCCCTCTTAACCGCAATACGACAGAGTTTCAGATACGAATGCGATACGAGATTCAATTTTCGATGCGCCGTCTGTCATCTGCATATTAACGGCATAAAATGTCAAATGTCATGTCGCCCGACACTTGCCGCGCCACTTTTTTCACTAATGTCCACATACATATATATATATACATACTATATCTATATGTGTTTGTAACACTATCATTGTCTGTTCACTCTTATCGGAGCGCCGCTTGCGTGAAACTGTGAAATGATTGGGAACTGATATGCAAATTCGTGATGCCAGCCATGGTTAGTAATTGAGAGAAATTTGTGCTGCTGACTGAAATTGACTTTTGATTAATAGGCGACAATTTAAAATGCATTTGGTGTGGAACGCACACAGCGGGGCTTACACGTTGCGTAAGCCACGCCTAATCAGCCAAGCTTCGGCTCACTAGCCCAGGCAACTGTTGCACTCATCAAGCCTCGTTAGCTACACACGGATAAAAAAAAGAAAAGGGGGAACGAAAAGTTTTGGCAGCCGCACATTTGGAACATTTCTGCGTAGGTAGCTTTAGTTTGTGGCGCTGTCGAGTTACCAATTCGAATGCCAAGGCCCGAAACCCAAGACCGAAGCCCCAGCCACGACGAGCGACAAGCGGACAATCAGTTGTTCTTGTTACTGCTTGTTGCTGTTGCTGGCCGTTGCCGCGTACAGTAGCCACAAGCACATGTCCAAAACTTGCAACTTGCAACTGGCAAGAGGCTGGAGACGACTGGCGACTGGGCGAGGTCGCAGCCTGGTCTGAGCATGGACAAAAGTTAATGACTTTAGGCTTAGCGGCGGCAGCAACAATGTGAGGCACATTTCCTTTTTTGTGCTTATGCAATGATAATAAAACGCAGCCTGTGTGCGGCAAGCCAAGAGCGCATAGCAGACATCAATAGAGCGGGAGAGAGAACGAGTATAAATGAAATAAATTACTGCGCAGGCGCAGCGACCACGTCGTTGTCGGCAGCAGCGGCTGCATTCAAACAATGAGCATGTGGCCCGAGCTCTGAGCAATTTGAATGGACGTGTTCCTTGGGCTCTGTGTGTCTGTCGATGTCTGGCTGTGTGGCATGTTGTGGCATGCAACGACCTGTGCCAGTGGCAGTGCCCAATGCCTGTACATGGACCTGGTCAGATCCGCCTCCATGCAGACGCGCATCAGCTACTCCTACGGCTTCATTTGCCATTATCTTCCAGTTGGTTAGTTAGTGCGCTTTAATTTATCGCTGCAAGCATGCGAGCAGGCATCCTCTGGATATGCACAGCAGATATAGCTCGGCTCTGTTCATAATACACCTACTACAACACGAGGCAAGTCAATTGTCCATTTCATTCCTTTGCCGTGCATCAGTTCACGTATCGCTCTCATAAATTTCTGCTATTGTTGTTATTGTTATTGTTCTTGTCTTCTTTCAGAATGGATGCAAATATTAAACAGCCTCCAACCCCAAGCTCAACTCTTTGGCTATGGGCTCCCTGCTTGGCTGTCCGGCTACTTATTTGCTTATTGAGTTTATTATTGTTGTCGTTATCTGAGTTGTTGTTGATTTCGTTGTTGTTGTTGTTGTTGTCGTTATTATTGTTGTTGATGTGTTGTTGTTGATTGTGGTCATTGCTGCTGGTTATCATTATGTTTATTATTGCACTCGCCCAGCTACCTCCGCACGCTGCCGCCAAGATAGTCAGATGCATTAATATGCGCATCATTCTGCGCTAATATTAAATAAGTCCACTGTACGTAAGGAGGCGACGGAAGCAATGCCTCGTGCCCGCTCTGGCTTTGGCTTTGGCATGGGATGTGCAGCTTCAATTGATGTTTAAAGCATGCTTATCAGTTTAGTGTGCTTAATGAATGAGAAGTAATATAAAGATAAAGATAAAGGACTGACTTTGAGCCAGGAAGCTGAATGAACACTGAGATAGGGTTACGTAGGTGGGCGAAAACCATATAGGTCTGATTTGCGAACGTTACGTCATGAATCTGAGCGAGAGGTCGCTAGCTCAAAGACGAGAGAAATTTATAATTGCAAATGCATTATAGCATATTATAAAATTAAAGACTGACTGACCAAAATAAACTGTGCTTTGGATAACAGCTAGCTTGATATAAAGAACATATGGCAAGAGCTTTGCAATTTTTGAGTCCAGTTAGCATGCACCAGTTTCAGTTGCTTCCTGTTGAGCACATTGCTTGCATTTCCTGTCCATGTTTCTTTATCAATTCGACGGCTCATTTATACTAACAACAGCGACTCGGCGCAAGCTTCAAGCTAATGTCGGGCGAATGCCAGTCCGACAAATACAAATGTATGCCAGCTTTATCCGCATGAACTCGAGCTGCCTCTATAGTCCTGTTCGGGCAGGACTTGACTAAGCAGTTCATCAAGCGGGTTGGCCTTCATCAGTGGCAGCGAACACGCCCATACTGGATGTGGATGTTCATTGTTGCTGCCTATTTACCATTTACCACTCGCAAGCTTTTCCACTTCCGGGCAATATACTAAAGCGTTTCCATGCGTAGGTAGTCGAGGATTTGTGCAATACACTTGGAGCCGGCTCGAGTTCATAATCTTGCCACTCAAATCGCTAAGCAGCTCGGCAGGAGCAGCTGGAGCGGCTTCCCTTCTTTAGAGCTGCACTTAATTTACCCTTAATTAATTGACCTGCAGTCTAGTGGAGTCCACACTCTTTCTGTCCACCAGCTGGCCCTACACTCCCCAGGCCCTGGCTCTGCTCTACTTAGTTGCGGCGTTTGCCATTTTTGCAAATGTTTTGTGTGCATGCAAATGGTTCGTTCAGTTGCTCATTCACTCATTCAGTCAGTTAGTCAGGCAGGCAGGCAGGCAGGCAGGCGGGCAGCCAGCCAGTCCGTGGTCAGTTCCATTCATTTCCATGGCTCGCTCAAGTGGCGCTGTGGCCACTCGAGTGGCCTGCCCACTTGAGAGAGCCAAGCCTGTACTGACATGGCCCGACCTGAATTGCCCCAAGCTCATTTAATTTAAATTTGAATTTGAATTTTATATTCATTTATTCGTGCACAGCCAGGGCGCTGTCAGATCGAATACCCTGCAAAGAATGCCCAACTTAATAAAAATTGCATGCCCAATAACTATTTGTGCGTCAACTGTATTTTCGTGTGCTCTGCAGCTTTATAGGGCAACTGACAGTCGTATTTGTTTGTGGCACTCGAAATGCAATTAAAACTTAATAAGCTGCAAGCTTTACAGCAAACTGTCCATCCAACCCCCACCCACCAAACCGACTAGTTAACTATTTCGATTCGTTGTTTATCGGTTGTATTTGCCACTCAATTAATTATTTTACTGCATTCGCACAAGTTTTAAAGCCTGCGGTCAGTTTGAGTAATGTTTAATTAACAGACGAGTCGAATCGAGTCGAGTGTGTGCTGGAAATTGTATAAAATTGGGTCATTCATTGGCCAGCAAAGGGTTTTGCGTTGCTCGAGTGCTCCAGATCTGTTCATATTATGGTAACTAATTAAGGCAA